GAGGCAAGTGCCAAGAATTGTTAGAGCAGATAGGAGAGTGGGACTGACTTCTCCTGTGGGCAGTGAACAACCCTTGGAACAGCTAACAAGGCAGAGAAAGGAGTATGTGGAAGGGCAGGGCACAGGAGGAGAGGGCATTTCAGGAGAAGGAGACCATAAAGAGAGATTGTGGCCCAAGCAGGCTAGGTAGAACTGGAGAGAGTTTCAGTGTGGACAGCATAGACAGATCACTTGGGGAAGGTGAGACTCAATGGAGAGATGGGGGTAAGATTGTTAATGGAATTTATCCCACCAAGATTAGGGCATCATTGATGGGTTTGGGTAGAAGACTGGCCTGAAAGTACCTTCACTTTTGGAAGTTGGCTCTGAGGGTGCAGGCAATAGACAGGCTGGAACCTTGGGGAGTCATGTATGCGCCAGAACCAGGCACAAACAGCAGGTGCCTAGCATCCCTCTAAGCACAAGCCAGCTTCCTGCCTGAGTGCCCCTCCTCTGATATGATGTTCAGTTCCCACACAAGTCACTCTGCTCTTGGATACATGTGCTATTCCTCTAAGAAGTTGCTTGTTCCCCTAATTTCTCAAAAACCCTCACTTCCCATACTCAAATCCTATGTTCTAATGCATGAGTTCTGTTGAAGCCCTGGGCCTCTGTAAATATATTAGCCTAATGTCATGTGGACACAATCAAAGCTTTCTAAGAACCCCTCTGGTGCCAGCCATGTTTTACTTTTTTGGCTTCTCAAATGGATGCCCCAAACTGGAGAATAACCTTTTGACCAGCATCATTCATATGCTAGTGGTGGCCCTGAGTCTCTCCAGACTAGTGGACTGTCACTAATGGAATTTGTTTCTACAACTAGATGTGGCCCAATGGAGCTAAGATCACAGAATTCCCCTCTAGGAGCTTGGGGAGGGGGCTTACAAGAAGCCACTCAGATCTCAGAGTGAGTCCCAGACACATAATTCCTGTCCAGGTGCCAGGCTGCCTGAGACCTGACCCACTAAGGATGGCAGCTGTATGTGATGTGAGGCCAGCCCAGCAAACTCTGGAAGGTGGATACATAGCCCATGTCTTAGAAGTAGTGATGTTCTGGGAGCAAGAATAATGGGCCTCCAGCTCCATAAGGGACTGTGGATTGCAGTAGTTGTACTTTAAGTTGAAACAAGTGGTCCTTCCAGCCATGACAGCCAAAATGATTATTCTAACCTCTTTCTTCTGACCCTGACCACTTTTCAGATGAGTACAGAGAGGGAAATGGAGGCTGAGAACATACTGTTGACACTCAGCCACCGTGGAGCAGTTCTGAGGACTCAGGCCACCACTGCTGTCTGGCACAGTGCCCAAGTCCAAGCCTATACTACAGGCATTGAATGAATGCCCATCCAGGATGCCCCACATTGTGAGGGCAGCAGGCAGCAGCTTGCAGGGAGCAACTCCACACACGCTCCTCAGAAGCCAGGCGTTGGTGATACCCAAGACCAAATCCCCTTCCTTGTTTTCTGCTGTGACAGAGCTGGGAGGAAGCCTCCAGAAAGCAGGTCCATCTGGAGGGCTGGAGACAGCCAGAAGGAGTGATGGGAAACCCTGTTGTTTCCATTCCGTGAAGGTTGCCAGGAAAACTAAATGCTGAGAACCACCCACTCCACCTCAGAATTCTCAGTGTTATTTTTCTAAGGACTCCTCTGAGCCTCCCTGCTGTAGGGTTCTAGCCCAGAAAACAGCCCCCATCATCATCACCATGTATGAAGGACCACAGTGTTCCAGGCACTGTACCAGGTGCTACACAGGCTTTGTCTTCTTCCTGACATCCCCCATCATTATCACCATATATGAAGGACCACAGTACCAGGTGTGCCAGGCACTGTACCAGGTACTACACATGCTTTGTCTTCTTCCTGACAGCTACGTTGCAAAGCAGTTGTTATAAGCTCTATTTTGAAGGTGAGGAAAGAACCACAGAGAGGTTAGGTAACTTGCCCAAGGTCACTTGGTAAGTAGCAGAGCCAGGATCCTAACCCAGGTCCTTTGACACCAAAGCCCATGTTCTCTACCCTCTACTATATAACCTTCAACATTGCCATATAGATGAAATAATCCGGGGGTTCCATGACCACTCCCTACCATACAAGTCATATGGGTGAGTCTAGGGAAGGAAGGTAAGGATATAGGCCCCCTTTCCAATACTTCTTCACCATAAACCTGGGAGCCCCAATCTCTGAGGCCCCTGAGCACACAGGGAGACAAAGGAGGAGTTGGCTC